GCAAGGAAACACTGCATGGTTCAAAATTGGGAAGGGCATACACCAGGGATGTGTCTTATCTCCATACCTTTTCAACCTATATGCAGAACAGATTATCCAGGAGGCAGGGCTCTGTGAGGAGAAATGTTGGGTCAAGATTGGTGGAAGATCTATCAACAATCAGCATTATGCAGATGACACAACCATGCTTGCCGAAACTGAGGAGGACCTGAAGCACTTGCTACAGAGGGTCAAGAACTGCAGCCTCCAATATGGATTGAGGCTCAATATCAAGAAGACAAAGATTCTCACCACTGGACCAATTGGCAGCATCAGGATGGATGGTGAAGAGATTGAGATTGTTCACAGCCTAAGTTTGCCTGACTCCACAGTCAACATTCTTGGCACCAGTAGCCAGGAAATTAAAAGATGTATTGCGATGCGAAAGTCTGCTGTTAGAGACCTTTCCAAAGTACTGAAGAGCAATGGTGTCTCTCTGGAGACCAAGGTGCATCTGATACAGGCGAATGGTCTTTGCAGTCACGTGTTATGCATCAGAGAGTTAGACAAAGACTAGGGAGAATAAAAGGAGAATTGATGCCTTTGAGCTGTGGTGCTGGAGAAGAGTGTTGAGGGTACCATGGACTGCTAGGAAACAAACAGATTCATCCTGAAGAGGGTTAAAACGGGCAGCTCCTTGGATACAAGGATTCTGAGGCTTTGTCTAACATATTTTGGACATACTGTAAGGAGGGACCGGTCTTTGGAGAGGGACATCATGCTTGGTAGGGTCGAGGGACAGCACAGGAGGGGAAGGCCCTCTATGAGGTAGATTAATTCAGTGACTGAGGTAATTGGGGTGAGTGTGTCGGAGACAGTGCGATTGGCGCAGGACAGAGCAGAGTTCAGGGCTGTTGTACATAGGGTCACTATGAGTTGCAAGCGACTCAACGGCACATAACAACAACAACAACACAGTCAAATGCCTTTGCATAGTCAATCAAACACAGATACATTTCTCTGGTGTTCTCTGCTTTCAGCAAAGATCCATCCAACATTTTCTATAATATCCTAGTACCACCGCCTCTTCTAAACCCAGCCTTCACATCTAGCAGTTCTCCATTGATGTGCTGTTCAGTTGTTCTTGGAAAAATTTCAGCAGGATCTTGCTTGCGTGTATTATTAGTCAGATTATTCGATAATCCACACTCTATCAGGTCACCTTTTTTTTTTTTTCTGGAATGGGAACAGATATGGATTTCTTCCAGTCACTTGGCTAGGTGGCTTTCCTCCAAAGTTCTTGACACAACTTAGTGAGTGCCTCCAGGACAGCATCTGTTTGTTGAAATATGTCAGTTGGTATGCTGTCAACCCTAGGACCTTGTTTTTTGCTAATTCTTTCATAGCAACTTGAACCTTCCTCCATCATCACAGGGTCTTGATCACACTTTGTTTCATGAGATTCTTCTGTGTCAGCCAATTATTTTTGTTACAATGACTCTGTGTACTCCTTCCATCTTCTTCTAGTGTTTCCTGGATCATTTATTATTCGGCCCAAAGTATCAGGCCTTCTTCTCTTATACTAGGGTTGTTACAAGACAGAACTGACAACAACAGTATTAAGGCAAAATTCTCCTTAAGTTACTATTATGCTTTTATATCTCTGAGTAAAAGCTATTGAAGTTAGTTCTCAAAGCAGAGCAAATTGTTTCTAATTAGGCTTTCCAGGTCATGCACGTCTTGCCTGTTCTTTGAGTAGTGTTTGATACTCATTAAATTTTCATCTCACAAACCATTAAAAATTTGATAGTAAAAGTGGTTATATTTTCAAAAATGCTTGAAAGAGGTGTTAGGAAATGTTGTGCAACTGAGGTTTGACTTTCCCTTCAGTTACTCTGAGCCTTTGAGACAGATTCTGTCTTCTCCTCTGTACTTTATCTTATAGAGACCCCAATTCTACATATTGGGTAACACCGAGTGGTTTTCTTAATCTGTGAACCTCAGGCCTAGTTTTCATTGTTTGTGGTCAAACATTCTTCTAAGGGGTATAGCAGTTGTCTGTCCATTTTCTGTACAGAGGTAATTCGTGGTTGCTGTAATACTAAACACTGTGACACTGATGTGTCAAATGCGAAAATGGCTACCCACGGTGGACAGTGTTTGGGGAGCTCCCTGACTAAAACAAGCTTAGAAGCAGGAGTGGCAGCCACTTCTGAAATAGCTTGCCTCTGAAAACTCTGTGAACTTGGAGAAACGATGAAAGTTCTACAAGTATTAAGGTCTTTCATTCATAGGGACACTATAAGTCATCTACAACTCGAAGAGACCTAACAACAACAACAAAGCATTCTTAAATATATAAAAATTAAATTTTTATAGTTCAGTTATACCAATTTTTCTTTGAAAAACTTTGTAATGATTTAATTCTTGTGTTATATTTGATTTTGTAGTAATTAATAAAAATTAATTTCATATTTATATAACTAAATTATAATAGTTTACTTTTTAATTGACACATAATCAATTAAATGAAATATAATGGTAGAATTTATTAATATCTTGCTAACTGTAGACAAATTGAGGCACAAAATAATATGCGTGATTAAAGAAAATATATGAATAATTGTATGTTAAAAATATGACTAATATAATCTTCCTTCATTTGCTACACATTGATGATCCTCAATGGTCTATTTGTCTTCACAGAACACCCTTATCTGTCAGTTTGTTATACTATAGTGGCTTGCATGTTGCTACAATACTAGAAGCTATGCTTTGGTATTTGAAATTCTAGATGGGTAAACTATGTTGGACAGGGTTCAGTGGGATTTCCAGACCAAAATAGACTAAGAAGGATGATTAGCCATCCACTTCTGAAATAATGGATCTTTGGAACCTTATGACTAACAGTGGAACATGGTTTAATATCGTGTTCAAAGATGAGCTGCTCAGGCTGGAAGACACTAAAAGTGTGATTTGGAGCTGTCTCTTCAAGGTACAGTTTACTCAGATGAGGTGTGAGTAGATGTACGATTGCTTAATGAAGGACTTCATTTTCTGATGTGGCACAACTCAAAATGAGGAGAAACCTCTGGGAACATCTTTTAAATGTGGATTGTATGAAGTAGGAATCTAGGAAAATAGAAAGTTGTAAAAAAATGAAATGGAATACATAAAGCTACTAGACATTAGAGACTTGAAATGAACTGGTGTTGGCCATCAGAGAAGATGAAAATATATATACAGCTTCACTGTACCAAGAATAATTTATTTGATACTGAATCACTTTAGGAATTAATATATAGTCAAGAAGTACTGGCACTAAAAGAAGAAATCCAAGCTAAATTAAAGACATAATAAAACATAAGGCTCTAAGAGTTAACAGAATGTAAATGGAAATATTTCAGCAAACAAATGCAGCTCCAGACATGCTCACTCATTTATGCCAAGAAATTTTGAATATTGCTACTTGACCAACTGACTAAATGATCCATAATGTGCCCATTAAGAAAAAAAAAGGTGATCCACCAGAGTGCAGAAATTATCAGATACTATCCCAGTTTAACACAGGTTTGGAAGCAGGAGTGACATCCACTTTCTTTTTTTTTTTTTTTTTTTTTTGAAGTGGCTCATTAGGTGTTTATTTTGTTCTATTTAAGAATTTGTTTTATTAAATTAATATAAAAATCTTTATAAATCACTATATACATCTGGTCATTGGAGGTTCCAGTTATAAACCCACCTTAGTTCTACCCTTTTTCCCCTCAAAGGGAAGCAGGGCTAAGTGGTCACGCCCCCACGTGGCTCCCTGGGAAACATGTGAGTGGGCGCTGGTTCAGGTTCCAGGTACATCCACTTTCTAAACAACATTCCTCCAGAAACTATGAATTTTGATAAATGTCAATAGTTATAAAAAGGCTTCAGGCCTTTTGTTCATGGGGTTGCTATGAGACATACTCAACCTGAAGGCTATCATCAACAATAACAACAACAACAACGATAACAACATCTTTTATACTACGTGCAACTAAAATCTTGCTGAAGAATATTAAAAACTACTGGACAAGAAACTTCCAGAATTCAAGCTAGGTTCAGTAGAGACTGTGGAAATAGAAATGTTATTGCTGGTGTTAAATGGATCTTGGCTGAAAGCAGAGAATACCAGAAAGATGTTCACTTAGTTTTATTGATTATACAATGGCATTTGATGTTGTGGATCATAACAAATTTCAAATTACATGGAGAAGAGAGAATCCCTGAACACTTGGCTGTTCTTACACAAATGAACCAAGGAAGCAGTCATTTAACAGGACAAGGGAATACTGCATGGTTTAAAATTAGAAAATATGAGTACCAGGTTTGTATATTTTTTACCAGATCTGTTCAATTTGTATACTGGGTAAATAATCTGAGAAGCTGGACTTTATGAAGAAAAATATGGCATCAGTATTAGAGAAAGATTCATCAACAATCTATCTTATGTGGATGATACAACTTTGCCCATGGGAAACGAGTAAGAATATTTTGAAAGCTTAAAGTAAAAAAATAACAACAAAAAACAAACCACACAAAGGCATCATAATCATCACTATCATCTTATTAATCAGATCTGAATGCCCAAAAGTAGATAATTGTCTTTCTAATATATGATTTTACCTGAAGTATCAGAACAGAAGTACATTTTTATACCAAGTTAATTTACTTCTGTAGAAACAATTCCTGTTGAACTTTTCCTTCCTCCTCCACCCCCCACATACTCCTTTTTCTTCATTTTGTTTTTTTGAGAGTGGAGGGAGGTCTATATACAGAACTTCCTCCATGCCATCAACATAAAAATTTCTCTTGGAAATTATCAAGCAACATTTAGATTTTCAAAGGTTATTGACATTTTTACCTTTTGAATGATTAAACATATTTAATTGAGTGATAGTGTAAAATGTGTTGCTAGTTGATTCTGTGTAACTGGTAAGAAGACATTTTAAAATAAAGAATTACTTTTTAATGCTTAAAATACTTTACAGGCCTTTTTGATGTGATTTTTAACAAAGGAAATAAGTGCATTTTCCAAAGTCACCAGATGAGACATCTCTCCCTTGCTCTTGATAATGGCTTTGCCACTGGAATGGTATGTAGTTGTTATTCCCTTTGCCATATAGCACTAATATGTATTTTTGGAATAGGATGCTTTTTATTATACATTCATTATTCTGATTAGTTTTAAAAATTCTGATATGTGAATGGTCTTGATTTACAGTAGTTCGACAAGAATAAAAACAGACTATTTCCAAAAACATTCAGAATTTAAATGAGTTTCCAAAAGGAGATTCCCCCCCCCTTCCCCAAACTACTGTCATAAGAACATCATGATGGGTAGCTTTATATAGCAAACATACATTTTTTACATGTTATGGAGACTCAAAAAAATTTCAAACCCATTGCTCTTAACTCAGAACTCTCATAGGTGACCCGTCGTTGAGTTTCTGAGACTGTAAATCCCACAAGAGGAGACTTCCCATCTTTCTCCTGTGAAGATGCTGGTAGACTCCCACCACTGGAGAGAGGTTAGCAGTGCACTTCTCTATGGTTAGGCTACCAAATTAAGGGTTTATCTCTAGGGTGACAGTGTGGTGGTTTTTATTTAGGGGGAACAGGGGTGTAGTGTATTTTAGCTTCTATTAAATTCATTGCTGTCAAGTTGGAATACACTCATAGTTGACTTCATAGCAATCAGTTTTGGCCATTTGATACTGTTGCTGATTCTTTTCCCCTGTTGAGAAGTTAGAGTATGTCAGTCACTGCTGCCACATCACTGTTAAAATCATGAAGCTGTCTTTTTTGCTTAACAATCTTTATAATAGTCCTAGGAGAGCCTCTGTTGTTATCTTTGTTTCTCAAAAGTAACTCAAAGTACAGAAAGAATAATTGACTTGACCCCAGTCACTTAACCTAAGAGTGTGAAGCCGTGAACATGGGCAATCTGATTCATGCTGTAACTTCCTCAGATATAATATTACATTATACATTGAACACATAGTATACTACCTAAGGAAAACTTATTTTAAAGTTTTGTATAGTTTGTGGCCCTAAAATTCAGGCTAAATTATTTCTTAGTCATACTTTCACCATTAGGTCATTTCTCCTCTGCTCCTAAACTAACAAGTTCCTCTGTTCTTTACTTCATAGTAATTGTATTCAGTACAAGATGGGTCATAGTAAATAAAGTTGAAACTGGTGATATGAAGTTACCTGAACTGAAAGTTTTAAAAAAGGCAACATTATTTCCTTTTTCTAAAATAAAATTAAATCAGCCTTCAAGCTCCTATTCAAACCAGAGTGGTATTAAGAGTCCATCTTTTGGAGAAGGAGGGGAAATCTCCTCCTGTACCAGTCAGATCCTATTTGATGGCACACACACAAGAAATAGTAAAAATAAAAATAAAAAAAAATAAGAACCCATCTTGGTCGTATAAGAATCCTCTTGTTTCATAAGAGAGCTAAAGTTACATAGTCTGTAGGTAGTTGTGCTGCTGACCCAAAAGCCACATCCATCCGGTGGCTCGGATTTGCCAGCATCTGTATGAGAGAGAGAGATGGGAAATTTCCTTCTATGTGATTTGTTGTTGTTGTTGTTGTGTTCCGTCAAGTTGGAACCAACTGCTAACTGACCCTTTGGTGGGTTTTCAGAGGCAGTTAATCACACAGGAGGAAATTGCCATCCTTCTTCCACAAAGTAGTTGGTGGATTTGAACCATGTGCCTTCAGGATTGCATTACAGCTTTTTGCCAGTAAGCAAATCAGTGCTCCATGTGATTTATAGCCTCAAAAACCAGTGGAGGGTTGTTTATGAGTTGGTTCCAATTTGATGGCAACAAATTTCACAAAATATTTGATTTGATATGGGGCATCAGAATATCTGGAGATAGCCTTCAGAGCTCACACTAGCTACATTGATATGATCATGAAGTTATCATTGATGTGATATAGGCAAACATCTCTATGCTTCCATGCCATATTCTCTCAGGGGGATTTACTTGAGGATGGTAGCCTTAATGACTTGGATTCAGTCAGGCTAATCGCACCAGTGATTTGCTCTTCTGCAGGCTCTGCTGCCTCCTCAGGTCACTAATAGTCTCTGAGTTAATCCAAAGTCAGGATGCTAAATCAGAACTAGGAGTGTCTCCAGGAACGTAGAGCAACCACCTCAATATGTTTTATCTATTGAAAGCATATTTGGAGCTCTGGAGGCCTAGTGGTAAGAATCTGTGTAACAATCCTGAAGGCATATGGTTCAAATCCACCAGCTGTTCCATGGAGAAGGATGAGCTATCTCCTCCAATGCCACGATAACCTCTGAAAACTTGTGAATGGTCAGCTTTGGGTCAATTCTGACTCCATTTTACATAACAACAACAACAATAACATTGAAAGCAAACCTAGGAATAAGGTGCTAACCTCTAGTAATTTGAACTTTCATGATGAAATAGAGCTGAGTTAAAGAACACAAATGAAGAAATGAAAAAGAAACAATGATAGAGTGCTCTGGTGACCTAGTGGTAAGAAGCAGCCCTGCCATCCCAAAGGCAAGCGACTTAAATCCCCTTGCTGTTCCATGGGAGAAGGATGGGCTATCTCCTCCCTTATGATTAACTGCCTCTGGAAGCCCACTGGAGGGTCAGCTATGAGTTCATCCAACTTGACCACACACAACAACAACAACAACAATAATTGTCTATTAAAATATCTTGCTGCTGTAATAATTTTTATTGTTACTCAGCATTCTGCCATTAATTTTGAGAAATCAAATAAAAGATGAAAGTTCTTGGATTATATCAGGCTGGGGAAACCAAGCCAGTGAAATCTCAAAGAAAGGGATTGTATAGTGAGAATAAGATGCTCACATCAGTAGAATGAACCTCTACCTACATATACATCCAGACATTATTTTTATTATAAAATTATTTAAATAATTTTAAATTTTATTATTTCTCATTTGATAATTCAAAGGTTGTTGATGTTGAATACCATCGAGTTGGAACCGAACTATAGCTGACCCTCCGGTGGATTTTCAGAGGCAGAAAATCACACTGGAAATTGCCCATCCTTCTGTGGGCTGGTGGATTCCAACTTCTAGTATTTGGGATGGCAGTGCCACTTCTTACCACTTGGCCACCAGTATATTAGATGTTTATTTCTTCTTCTTCTTTTTCTTTATTGTCTTTTAGGCCAGTGGTGCTCCAGCAACTGAGCTTCGGGTTCTGTATCAACCCAATCGCTGTGCTCTTCTTGAGTCAACACTGATTCCCGGTCACACAATCACTTTTGATCGTCATGGAAAAATAACTGATAACTTATCAACAGGCTATGCAGAGCTCTCAAAAGAATTTGCGATTTATATCAAGGTAAAATGGAGCAAAACCGTCCAAGTTTCAGTTGCCTACTTTATTTCTTTTTTTATTAGATTTTCACTTACTGTATTTTTAATTGTGATTTGAGTGAAAGTTTGCAAAACAGATTGATTTTCTACATTCATTTTGTTTCATGATATTAAGTACAAAATGTAATTATGGTTTTCCTACATTTTTCTTGTAATTTTCATATCCTTTAACATCTATTCACCTTGCCTGTCTGCCTATATAGCTATCTGCTATTGACTGTGTTTCTTGTGTATTTCTCTGCATCTTTCCTTTCTTTAATGATACTGTATCTATCCATCTCAATTAGAGTCTCCCTTCTAAATCTGTTGTCCTTGTCCTCCAAATAACTAAATGTATGTGAGATAAAGTTTTATATAATTAAATGTATGTGAGATAAAGTTTCATCATTCTTGCATAAAAGCTTCTTCTAACGCAAATTTGTTCTTTTCATTGTTGTTGTTATTACATGACATTGGGTCAAATATAACTCATAGCTAACCCATGAATAGCCAATCTGAAACCTGCTCTATCCTGTGCTACTCTCATCATGCCTGACACACAAGAGCCCATTGTTGAGGTCACAGTGTCAGTCTATCTCATTAGGGGGGGAGGTGTCTTCCTCTCCCTTGCTGACCCTCCATCTTTCTAAGCATGATGTCTCTTTCCAAGGAATAGCCTCACCTAGCTATATGTCCAAAGTATGAAAGAAAGTTAAAGCTTTGTCATCCTTGCTTCCAAGGAGCACTCCAGCTTCACTTTTTCTAGGACATATCTGTTTGTTCTTTGGGTTGTCCATGGAATATTCATTACTCTTCTCCAACACTAAAGCTCAAAGTGCTGCTTAAGTCCTCCTCATTCATTGACCATTGCCTGAATCAGGCAAATCTTTAGTTATCAAACTGATATCACTGCTCTTCAGTATTTTAGAGAGGTCTCTGACAGCAAACATGCTCAATGTAATACGATTCTTGGTTTCTTGAATGTTGGTACCCACGGTGTTGACTGTTGATTCAAACGAGTTGTATAAGATGGTATATTTAATGTTCTTTAAAAACATCACAAAGACATTGATACTTTTTGGTCTTCTTTATTCATTATCCAACTTTAGTATGCATATGAAGTAACTAAAGGTAGCTTCACCTTTGTCTTTAAACTGACACCTTTTCAATTTAGTACTTTAAAGAGGTTCTTGACAGCAGTTTTACCTAGTGCAATATATCCTTTGATTTCTTAATTACTACTTTCATGGTACAAAAACTGTCACCTTTCAAGTTCCTTTTACCCTGAAGGGCTCATTTTGGCTCAATATCTTTCAGTATTCCACTTCTATCCAAGGCATTATTTCAGAATTAGATGAGCAGATCTTCTTAGTTTGTCTTAGTCTGGAAACTCCTTTGAAAATGGCCCCTTATTGGTATTTCAAATACAAGTGACATAGCTTCCAGCAGCATCACAACAAAGTCATCACAGTTTGACAAGCTTAAAGGTTGCATATTCTGGGCATTAAATTATAAACATATAGTGTTTATAATTTCCACACAAGAGGTGGAAAGAAAAGTGATGACTCCTATTTTTGGAAGCCAAATAATGTATCCATTTACTTTTCAAAAAGGCCAGGTGATGATTGTGGACAGACCATCAACTACTCATATAGCAAGTTCAAACTGATGCTAAATCAAGTCAAATTAAATAAAATCAAATCCACAACAACAAAAGTTTGACTTTGAGTCTATCCTACCTAAATTTGAAAACCATCTCAGGAACAGGTTTGAAGCCTTAAACACTAATGAGCAAAGACCAGATGAGCTGTGGGAGGATATCAAGAATATCAACCAGGAAGAGTCCAGAAGGTCCTTGCAAAGACAGAGGAGGAAGAAAAGACCAAGATGGATGTCAGAAGAAACTCTGAATATTGTACTAGAGCACTGAGAAGCCAAAGCAAAGGGAAGAAATAAAAAAAAATTAAGGAGTTGAACAGAAGATTCCAAAGGGCAAGTGTGGAAAGATGTAGTAAAATATTACAATGAAATGAGCAGAAAGCTGGTGTTAGAAAATCAAAGGGGCTGAAATCACTCAGCATTTCTTAAGCTGAAGGAACTGAAGAACAAATTCAAGCCTTGAGTTGCAATACTTAAGGATGCTTTGGGAAAATATTAAATTATCCAGGAAGCATTAAAAGAAGATGGAAAGAGTATACAGAGTCATTGTACCAAAAGGAATTGGCAGGCACAGAAGAATTTAATGAAATAACATATGAGCAAGAGCCTGTGGTGATGAAGGAAGAAGTTCAAGCTGCTCTGAAAGAACTGGCAAAAAATAAGGCCCCTGGAATTGATGGCATACTAATTGACATATTTCAACAAACAGATATGCCCTAGATGTGTTCACCAAGTTGTGTCAAGAAATCTGGAGGACAACCACCTGGCCGACTGACTGGAAGTGATCTATATTTGTTCCCATTACAAAGAAAATTGACCTGACAGAGTGTGGAAATTGCCAAACAATGTCTCTGATATCACATGCAAGGAAGATTCTGCTGAATGTTACACAAAAATGACTGGAACAGCACAGGGAACTGCCTGAAGTGCAGGCTGAGTTTAGAACAGGCCATGGTAATAGGGATATTATAGCTAATGTTAGATGGATCTTGGCTGAAAGCAGAGAGTACCAGAGGAAATGTCTCTCTGTGTTTCTTTGACTATGCAAAGACATTTGACTGTGTGGATCACAAATTTTGGCTGACTCTGAGAAGAATGGGAATCCCAGAACATTTCATTGCGCTTATGCAAAACCTACACTTGGACCAGGAAGTAGTCTTCAGAATAGAGGAAGGAAACACTGTATGGTTCAAAATCAGAAAAGGTATGCATCAAGAATGCATCTTATCTCCATACCTTGTATATCTATACACAGAACAGATCATTCAGAAGTCTGAACTTTATGAAGAGGAACTCAGGATTGAAGAAAGACTCATCAACAACCTTCACTATGCAGATGACACAACCTTGCTTGCCAAAACTAAGGAAGACCTGAGACAGTTGCCACAGAAGGTCAAGGACTGGAGTCTTCAATGTGATTTGAAGCTCAACATCAAGAAAACAAATACTCAAGAGTAAATAGAGAATAGATTGGGCTTCTTAATATATTCAGCTTGCTTGGTTCCACAAAAAACACTCTTGACACCAGCAACCAGGAAATCCAAACATGAATTGCATTGGGAAAATCTGCTATCATGGACCTTTCCATAGTGTTGAAGGAAAAGATGTCAGTCTGGAAACCAAGATACACCTAATCCAGGCCATGGTCTTTGTAATTTCTTGCTATGCATCAGATAGCTGGACAATGACCAAGGATGAAAGAAGAAGAATTGATGCCTTTGAGCTGTAACGCTTAGAACTATTGAAAATTCTATGGACCATCAGGAGAATAAACAGGTCTGTCGTGGAAAGGATGAAAGCAAGCTGCGTCTTGGAGGTAAGGATTTTGAAGCTCTGTCTCACATACTTTGGGTATGTGGTCAAGAGAGACTAGTCTTTGGAGAAGGATATCATACTTGGAAGGCGGAGGGACAGCACAGAAAGGAAGTATCCCAGATGAGATGTGTTGACCGACTAACTGGAATAATAGAGATACATGTGCCAGAGATGGTGAGATTGACTCAGTGTAGGTCCAGCTTCAGAGCTTTTGTTCATAGAGTCACTATGTGTCCTAAGAGTCTCGATGACACATAACAACAACAACAACGATGACAACAGAAATGATACCCTTTGAGTGCTACATAAATTAGAACATTTCATAGTGCTTATGCACTTTTACTGTATGTAATTTTATAATTCATTAAAAGTTATTTATTCTGAATATGCAATAGTTAGTATTTATGATTGCTTACATTGTGCCAGAAACTTTACAGATATTTTCACTGCACTTATAGTTTATTATTAAAATACTGACAGATTATGTTTATATTATGTGTGGTTGTTACAATGTACTCTCAAACAAGAACCAACTCATAACTAGTTCTCCAGGGAATTTTCAGAAGGTATAAATAACATAAGAGGAGATTGCTCATTTTTCTCCTGAAGAGTATCTGGTACATTTGAATTGCTTGCCTTTGGGTTGACAATGCAATTTTTAATCTGTAAGAACACAGGGAAAAAAAAATTCCCTGGGAAGGTCAGACTCTTAGTATAGCTGTCAAATTGTGGCCCATCATTCAAACAGAATTCTGTTTGTTTTGAAAACTTGTACTTAGTTTATATGTACCATGGGCACATTTTTAGGAGAGACTAGTCTATTGAGCAAGGAAACATTGCATGGTTCAAAATCAAGAAAGGAGTGCGTCAGGAATGCATCCTGTCTCCATATCTTTTCAATCTGTATGCAGAACAGATCATTTGGGAAGCAGGGCTTTCTGAGGAGGAGTGTGACATCAAGATTGAAGGGAGACTCATTAGCAACTTATGATATGCAGATGACACAACCTAGCTCACTGAAACTGAAGCAAACATGAAGCACTTGCTGCAAGAGGTCATGGACTGTGTTCATCAAAATGGATTGAATTGAAGGTCAACGTCAAGAAGACAAAGATTCTCACCACTGGGCCGATTGGAAGTACCATAATAGATGGAGAAGAGATTAAGGTTGTTAGCAATTACAGCTTGCTCAGATCCACAATCAACACTCTTAATACCAGCAGTCAGGAAGTCAAAGGACGAATTGCATTGGAAAAATCTGCTGTCATGGACCTCTCCAGAGTGCTGAAGAGCAAAAATATCAGTCTAGATACAAAGGTACACCTAATCCAAGCCATGGTTTTCTCAAGTACTTGTTATGCATCAGAAAGTTAGACAATGACTAAGGATGACAGAATAAGAATATATACCTTCGAGTTGTGGTGCTAGAGAAGAGTCTTGAACATAACATGGACTGCCAAGAAAACAAACAGGTCTGTCTTGGAGAGGGTGAAACCAAGTCTCTTCTTGGAGGCTAGGATTTTGAAGCTTTGCCTCACTTACTTTGGGTACATGACCAGGAGATATCGGTCCTTGGAGAAAGACATCATGCTCAGAAGGGTAGGTGGACAGCACAGGAGAGGGAGACAACGGATGAGATGGATTGTAATAGTAATTGGGATGATGGGGGTTGGTGTGTCAGAATTATTGAGACAGACTCAGGACAGGGAAGAGTTCTCTATAAATTAGGGTCTCTATGCATCATAGGCGACTCAACCACTAACTTTGTATGACAGGTTTGGAAGCAGGCATGGCATCCACTTCCTAAACAGCTTGCCTCTGGAAACTCTATGAACTTTCATAAATGTCGATAGTTGAAGAGGGGTTTCAGGCCTTTTGTTCATAGGGTTGCTATGAGATGTGTTTGACTCAAAGGCAATCAATAACAACAACAACAGTCCTTGGAGGAGGAGACTATGTTTTGGAAAGTGGAAGGTCAGAGTAAGAGAGAAAGAATCTCAGATGATGGATTGACTATAACAATGAGCTCAAGTGTGTCAGAGATGGTGAGGATGGCAGAAAATAAGGTAGGGCTCAGATCCACTGCTCATAGGGTTGTTATGATTTGCAGTTGACTTGATTTCACACAACAATTTTAACAAATAGGGAGCTCTGGTGGCTTACTAGGTAAAGAGTTGTACTGCCAAACCGAAGGCAGGTGACTAGAACCAACTAGCTGCTCTGCAGGAGAAAGACAGCGAGATTCCTTCTGTGCAATTTACAGCTTCTGAATACCCACTGGAGGGTCAGTTAGAAGTTGGTTTCAATTCTATGGCACATAGCAACCGCCTATAATTAATACTTCTCATATTATTTTATTTTATAAAATTATGATTTTAGGTCTATAACTCTAGATACTGATCATTTAATGTATTTCAATTTGATCATTTCTGCATTATAATTCCACAATAGTGCGCTTTGACCACAACTTTGTTATTTTCCAAGCTTAGACAATTATGCTCATAATCTAAGACCCAGAATATGAAATCTTTAATGCTTTAGAAGTATATTTCAAGAAACATATTACATTTTATTCACTTCTTTGTAGGAAAGTACTTATTGACCTCATCTTCAGTTATTAAAGAGACAATCTGGCAATCTTTTTCAGGAACAAATTAACTTTAAATGTAACTTTTAAATTATAGATATGGGTAATATTGCCATACTTGTATTACACATTTGCATTTTTATTTTTCGTTTGTCATGCTGTGTGTTTCAAAATAATGTTTCATCACTGGTTATACCTTTACCTAAATTATTGGTATACTGGATTTTCTTAAATATTTTGTCCACTCATGTTTATAGTTATCTAATATTACTAGAGTTCATCTAATAATTCAAGCATTGTTCTAGATCATTAGTTTAATTCTGCTTTATATTTGTATTGCAATTTTTTGTTTATACCAAGGAAAGCATCCCAGTAGCCATAGAGTCAATTCTGAGTTGCTGTGACAGCCTGCATTACAAAGTGGAATTGCCTAGACATTTTGGAAAAATCCATGGATTGCCTAGAATTTTTGGAAGCCAATTTCAAAACATTAGCTTTTTGTTAGTATTCAAGTTAACTGCTTAACTGATAGTGCCACTCAGATTCACCTATTTGTCTAAACTATAATCCTCTCACACTCATTGCTATGTTGTTGGGACTGACTCATAAGTGACCCTCCAGCAGGCTTTCCAAGGGTTGCTGTGAGTCATAAAGGACTCAACAACACCTAACAACAACAACAATATACTTAGACAAAGAAGCTGTTCTTGAACAGAGCAGGGAAACATTGCATGGTTTAGAATTAAAAAAAAAACAAAACAACACAAAAGACCTGTGAGTCAAGGTGGTATCCTTTCTATTGCAAACACCACTTTGGAGAGATTCTGTGACAACAAATTTTCGCATTGCAGCATCCTTTATTTTTTCTTTTTTTAATTAACACTATGTTTCATAGAATCATTCCCAAACATTGTGTTTTATTGTAAGTGTAATCACCATTTAACTATGCCTTCTATTACCTTATCCTTTCAGGTTCCTGCCGGATTTTTCCCATTTCCTTTACCCACACATTCCACCACCACCACCACCACCACAGCCCACCCATCTTCTTCCAACCTTTACCCCCTTGGACACCAATTCACGTTTTACCAGTTGTACTTCCATTTTTAACAATAATAATCTTATGAAATATTTGTCCTTATGAGACAGGCCTAGTTCACTCAGCATAATGCTCTCAGTTTCTACTTTTAACAAAATATTGCTCCTGATTGCTGTGTAGTATTCCATTTTGTGAATGTACCACAATATCTCAATCTGTGTAATTTTGGTTAGACATTTGGTTTCCATGTTCTTGTGATTGTGAATGACACTGCTATGAACACTAGTGTGCAAATCTGTTTATATTTATAATGCCCATTTACTGTTAAAAGCTTCTGAGTTCTTGAGAATACAAATACCAGTTTTACTAATAGCAATAAAACCATCTAGTAAGGTTTAAAAAAGTTAAAGAAAAGCTGTAGATTGCATGAGAGAAGACTGGTTGTATTGATTCCATGGAGTGTGTGGCTCTTAGGTCAGTAGCACAATGCCCTACGGAGTAGGCCATCAGAGCCCTCTATTCATTTAAAGACACTGTAAATTACAGTTATAATTTAAAACTGTGGCTTTTAAAATATATTTTTGTTGTGATTTAAGTGAAAGTTAACAGAGCAAATTGGTTTTCAGTTCAAAAACTCATACACATTTTATTTTATAATATTAATTACAATACCTACAAAGAAATAAATTTCCCTTTCCACTTCCTCCTAGTAAATATCATTTCCATTAGTCCTTCTATTCTACCCCTTGACTTCTGGATTTTATCCTTGAACAGATGCTACTCTTTTGACCTTATATGGGTAGTTATTCTAAGGATGAGTGACTGCCTGATATTACTTTTCACCTTATAGGCCTGTCTATTGTTCTGTTGTGACCCTTAGTGATTTTTCAGACCTGAAACAAAACTCATCCACATGACTCAGCTTTCCGACAAATAAGAGAAATGTTTTTGGTTTGTGTATCTTTATTTTTAATTTCTATATCACTCAGTCTGTACTTTGTATATTAATATACGGGATACTCACTTGGCAAACTTACTAGAAGAGATCTATATTTGTTCCCATTCCAGAGAAAGTTGATCCAACAGAGTGTGGAAATTATCTAACAATATCATTGATACCACATGCAAGTAAGATTCTGCTTAAGATTATCCAAAAACAACACATCAACAGAGAACTGCCAAAAATCCAGACTGGGTTTAGAAGGGGTCGTGGTACTAGGGATATTGTAGCTAATGTTAGATGGATCTTGGCTGAAAACAGAGAGTACCAGAGGAATGTCTATGTTTCATTGATTATGCAAAGGCATTTGACTGTGTGGATCACAAAAAAACTGTGACTGACTCTGAGAAGAATGGGAATCCAAGAACACTTGATCATGCTAGTGCAAAACCTACAGTTGGTCCAGCAGGCAGTCATCAGAACAGAGCAAGGAAACTCTGCATGGTTCAAAATTGGGAAGGGTGTATGCCAGGGGTGTGTCCTGTCTCCATACCTTTTCAACCTATATGCAGAACAGATTACCCAGAAGTTAGGGCTGTATGAGGAGAATTGTGATGTCAGGATTGGAGGAAGATTCATCAACAATCTGCATTATGCAGTTGACACAACCCTGCTTATTGAAACTGAAGAAGACCTGAAGTGCTTGCTGCAGAAGGACAAGGACTGCAGCCTTCAATATGGATTGAGGTTCACTATCAAGAAAACAAAGACTCTCACCACTGGTCCAGTTGGCAGCATTAGGATGGATAGTGAAGATATTGAGATTGTTCACAGCTTTGGTTTGCTTGGCTCCACCATTGTAAACAATCTTGGCACCAGCAGCCAGGAAATTAAAAGACATATTACAATGAGAAAGTCTGCTGTCAGAGATCTCTCCAAAGTACTGGAAAGCACTGGTGTCACTCTGCAGACTAAAGTGTGCCTGATACAGGTCATGGTCCTTGCAATCACTTGCTATGTGTCAGAAAGCTGGACAATGACTAGGGAGGATAGAAGGAGAATTGATGCCTTGAGCTGTGGTGGTGGAGAAAAATATTTAATATACCATGGAGTGCTAAGAAAACTAATAGTTTCATCCTAGAGAGGGTTAAACCAGGCCGCTCCTTGAAGGCAAGGATTCAGAATCTTTGTCTGGCATACTTTGGGCATGTTGCAAGGAGGGACCAGTTCTTACAGAAGGATGTCATGCTTGGGAGTGTGGAGAGATAGCATGGGGGAGGAAGACCCTCTATGATGTGGATTGATTCAGTTACTGGGGTAATGGGGGGTAGGTGTGTTGGAGATAGTGAGATTGGCACAGGATAGAACAGGGTTTAGGTCGCTATGAGTCATAGGTGACTCGACGGCACATAATAACAACATCAGCAACTCAGTAAATAATTACTGATTTTGTTGTTTACAATCGAGTCAGAACCAACCCAGGGCTGACCCTCTGACAGGTTTTCAGAGGCAGTTCATCCCATGGAAGGAGAGTGTCCATCCTTCTCCTGCAGAGCAGCTGGTGGCCTCGAACTGAGTGCTTTCGTGATTGCAGCGCAGTTTCTTGCTTCTAGGCCACCAGAGCTCCCTAATTATTGATAAGAGATAAAATGAACTCATTTTGCCTAACTTTACAAAGCAATAACACCAATTTGCTTTCTTCTTTTGATTATTTTCAACTATATAGCTTCCAGTAAGATCCTGAAGACTGGACTGTCTAAAAGAGAATTGATTCAAAATGCAAGTTTGTTATTTACTGTGTTTCTGTTTTGTTGTTTTCTCTGTAGGGTGTGTTCCTCGACAGTGCTGTGGTTCTGCTGGCTACCAGCGTCTGCCAAGCCCTGTGTTTACAGCCTGATGGGAGCTGCACTGGTGTGGGGAGTCAGTCAGAAAAATCTTACTGGAAAGTGCATAAGATCCGCTCTGGGGTCTGCATGTTTGAAAGTGTGAAGAATGCACAGATGTATCTGAGGATTAAGAATGGTCTGTGTGATGGAACAGTAAGCATCTGCTCAGAATTTTTCTAATATGCTTAAAGAATTTTCCAGTAATATACATATTGTTCTTATGTATATCATTGAGTCTGAATCAACTCAGTAGCTGACCCCGCAGTACTTTTTCAGAGGCAGTAAATCACATGGGAGGAGATTGTCATTCTTCCATGGAGTGGCTGGTTGATTTAAACCACATACCATTGGGTTGACAGACCAATCCTTTACAACTAAGCCACTAGAGCTTCTCTAGAAAGACATGAAAATAGTACTTACTGAACATTTTGTTTTTTAGATTTAAAATAAACATGTAGCACAAAATGGTTTTATATGAGATTATCTTTCTTGTAGGCAAGTAAGTAGTGTGGGCTGCCTGGCTTCCTGTGGTGAGTCATTGCTTCACAAACATTGCTGTGCATACAAGTTAGCTGGGCATCATGTTACAATGCAGATTCTAACATAGAAAGTTTCTGCATCTCTAACAAGCTCCCTGCTGTTGATTCTATTGATCCAAATCTAGAAGTTTCCAGCTCAATACTACTTTTTTAACTGTATCTTTGGATGTCTGCATTTCCACCATCAGAAATTCTGCTTCTAAGTTTAAATTTAAGTTAAGGAAGTAATTTTGAATTTGAGGATTACTTCTCTCACATCTTATCTCTTTAAGAGTGGATGTGGAAGACAAGCAATTTAATATTTTTTCTGAATTCGTAATTATTCTGCAAAGCAAAGGACAGGTATAGTTACGCATTACACTTGCCCAATTAATTGCAAAATTGTTTTCACAAATAGTGAGCCCACATAAATAGCATGCACACACATGTAACAGGGAAATGATAGAATTGTGTAAACCATTTCTGGAGAATATGCTCAAGCATAAACCAAGTGAACATTTCCAGAATAAATTTTGGCCTTAATTACCTTCATTTAATAGTCCAGAAATGCTACTTTTGATTGCATTTTATATTACAGGTATAAGTCATTTCTAAGAAGTCATTGAATTTGATAATAGTAGATGGATCGTAGAAAAGAAACAGTTAGAGTATGCATTTATTCTGGAGCAGTTCATGGTCACACCTGAGAGTGGTGGAGTCCTTCTAGCTGGTTTATGCCCAACTGGAGGGTCAAGTGTAGGGATCTATGTGGTGCTGCAATACCTCAAGTACCACCTGGTCCTATGACAGGCAGAGTCTTTGCCAGAAAGTTCCCGAGTGCTGACCCCATATGAAATCAGGTAGCAGGATGAAGCACTCAGTCTGACCCTTCTCTACTTAGTGGAGGATGTGAGACCTCTGTGTACATAAGGCTTTCACACCTGTTCTGTGGTATTTCGGCACGTGGGAAACCCAAATGCAGTGCCTTACCAGCTAGACAGTAGAGTGTGATGTGAACAGCTGCAGTGTTGCCCACCTCAGGGTCCTTTCTCTTATGCAAACCTACATATTTCCTTCTGGGACCTCTGGCCTCATGAAGGACTTTTTTTAGGGTACAAAAAGTGAATTATTCCAGTACTAGAGACAGTAGAGCAAAGAAGGAGTCCTGCTGGGAGATGATCTTCTTCAGAAGCTTGAAGGGAGGCTAGGAGACTTGAGGAGTCTGCTGCTGGAAAGCAAACCTCTGTGTAAACAGGAAACAAGATGCAGACATCACGTTAAATCTTTTGAACAGAAAAAAATTGTAATAGAAATCCTCAATTTGTGAAAGATATATTGTCGTCGTGCAATAATGAAAACAACATATGGAGGTGGCTTTCTCAGCAGGCAAAATGTATAAAATAGAAATGCCTTATCTTCTATTCTTTTAATGACAATTTAATTTAAAGTATTTTTTTTGAAAATGCTCAGAGATCCTTATCTGTCCTTTCTGTTTACCAATATGGCATCTGGACATTTGGGAGAACTTGTGTGAACCTGAGGAGGTGTGGGAAGTGAGGATTTAAACTATTTATGACACCTGAAGTGCTTGCTGCAGAAGGTCAAGGACTTCAGCCTTCAATATGGATTGAGGCTCAATATCAAGAAAACAAAGACTCTCCCACTGGCCCAAATGGCAGCATCAAGAAGGATGGTCATGAGATTGAGATTGTTCACAGCCTTAGTTTGCTTGGCTCCACAGTCAACACTCTTGGCACCAGCAGCCAGTAAATTAGAAGATGTATTGAAATGGGAAAATCTGCTGTTAGGGACCTCTCCAAAATACTGAAGAGCAATGGTGTCACTCTGAAGACTAAGGTGCGCCTGCTAAAGGCTGTGGTCTTTGCAATCACTTGCTATGTGTCAGAGAGCTGGACAATGACTAGGGAGGACAGAAAGAGAATTGATGCTTTTGAGCTGTGGTGTTGGAGAAGAGTTTTGAAAATACCATGGACTACTAAGAAAATGAACAGAGATGGTTCAACCTTGGAGACAAAGATTCTGAAGCTTCGTCTGGCATATTCTGGACATGTTGGAAGGAGGGACCAGTCCTTTGAGAAAAATGTCATGCTTGGGAGTGTGGAGAGAGCGCAGGAGAGGAAGACCCTCTATGAGGTGGATTGATTCAGTGACTAGGATAATCGGGGTATGTGTGTCAGAGACAGTGAGATTAGCACAGGATAGAGCAGGGTTTAGGGCTGTTGTACATAGGGTCGCTATGAGTCGCAGGCAACTTGACAGCACATAACAACAAACAATATGACACTCTGGGTCCTTTCCTTTGTAGCGGGCTGAAATATTTTTCTGAGATCTGCATTAATGATCCATAGTGAAAAGGAGAAAAGAAACACACTTGCACACATACTTGAGTAGAGATATGTTCATTTGAGTCTGTTAAATAACAGCTTTGTAAATATCTTCACATAAAATTCAAGCCAAAGTCAACATGATTCCTGTTGGCTTGAAACTGATCTATAGCTGGCCATCCATTGGGTTTCCAAAGTTATAAATTGTGTGGGGAATAGATTGCCTATCTTTCTCCCACGGAGCTGCTGGTGGATCCAAACTATTTTTGGGTTATCAGTGCAACTCCTTCCATGCTAAGAGGGTATAATCTAAGGTTTGTAGAGGAAATCTTGTTCCTACCTTTATAAAAATTTGGATAAACATCCTAGATTTAAAGAAAGATTTTGTGGGTCTCCTTTGCCTAGAAAATCCTTATACCGTAGGATAAATTTTGCCTTTGTGCTGCTTCAAACTAAAGCTTTGGAGCGGCTTTATACAGGAGCTTCTAATTTCTGCTATTTTTGTTAAAAATTCCAAACTTATTATTAGGGAAATGATTTCACCAGAAAGTTGTTGTTAGACGAGTTGAAATTTTAAAAGACTTGTAGTGTGTCTAGAGACTCCTGAATTGTTTTGTAAATTAAGAATGTGCCATTGTTCAGGACCAAGGTGAATTTTCTAATGATGTTACTAGGTATTGTTACAAGATATGAGGAAAGCAAAAAAGAGAACATGGATTAATACTTTTTAGTGTTCTGTAGCAAAGGCTGAACTGGCTTATTTATGTTCATATTAATTTTTCTAATCCTTACATGTATACCACAAAACAGCAACATTATCTCTACTGAAGATTATTGTACATGAATGACCTAACTCTTTTGTGTCATCATCTAATATTAGCAGGGAGAAGGGTTCTATTACAAATTTAATGTTTTCAGTAAACAAACATGTCCAGATCATCTTAGCTTTTCATTCACAGAAGGATTGGCACTTTGCTGTTCTCTCACATATGCTCTCACAGATTATGGTGGTCAAGAAGGATCCTCCTCTGTGTAATTAGCTGAATACTGAAGGACTAAAGGTTAGCTCCTGATGTTCTTGAAACAACTTGATTTTCATCTCTGTTCTGGAACTCTGTATAAAGAGTCTTCAGAGAACCCCCATCCCATGTATTTACTGCTACTATTTCAGTTGGAGTGTTTTGTTTATATTGTTGTTGTTGTTGTTATGTGCCGTCAAGTCGTTTGCAACTCATAGCGACCCTATGTACAAAAGCCCTAAACCGTGCTCTATTCTGTGCCAATCTCATTGCCCCCAATACACCCATCCCGAATACTCCAGTCACCAAAACAATCCACCTCATAGAGGGTCTTCCCCTCCTGCTCTATCCCTCTATTCTACCCAGCATGATGTCCTTCTCCAAAGACCTGTCTCTCCTTACAACATGTCCAAAGTATGTCAGACGAAGCCCCAGAATCCTTGCCTCCAAGGAGAAGCCTGGTTTAACCCTCTCTAGGATGAATCTGTTTGTTTTCTTGGCAGTCCATGGTACATTCAATACTCTTCTCCAGCACCACAGCTCAAAGGCATCAATTCTCCTTCTATCCTCCATAGTCATTGTCCAACTCTCTGATGCATAACAAGTGATTGCAAAATGAATTGTTGATTTAATTGTATTGCCATACAATTTGAGTTTGCTTTTTTTGGCAATGAATGATTCCAGTTATAAAAACTACTCAAATTTCAGAGAAGAGAGAAGTTTTTACTAGGAGAGAGGACCAGCAGCAACACAAACTGTCATTAAGGGGTTTCTCAGCTAAACCTCCTACCAAGTATCCAATATCTAGGAAAGAGAAACAGAGACCGAAGGACAATAATCAACAGGTTTAGAGATAGTCCACAATTTAATGTTTGTTGAATGTCTTAGCTGGTGCTAATTATCACTTTTCCAATTTGAAACATTAGGGCTTTTCAGTATAGAAATCTAGCTGTCTCTAGAAAGGCCATTAAATGCTCTCCTATAATAAGGGCAGGTGCTACTGAGAATAGGGAAACCAATCAGAGGGAAACAAGTATGTATGTATTGTTTTCTATATGTTATCTCTGACCTATTCTGCAACTGTCAAGTATTCCTATCCTAGTTAAGAAGATAAGCCTATAGTAGATGATTAATATAGGGAACAATGTAACATACATAGCTACAAGAAAGAGAAAATGGTATAAAAACTGTTATCTATAGGATTGCTACCATCTTTCATTTCAAAATTCTGCATCTAAGATTTAAATGAAGATATTTTCAGTCAAAATCAA